TACCTAAAGAGAGCGATGCGGCAGTGCTTTAGTGCTTCAGTCTGTCCAGCTCTCTCATCTCATTATCTGTGTAGTCTAGTCAAACAGCTCATCAACTTTCATGATAATACGCTTTTGACGTCATCACACTCGCCATCTTGTACTGAGCTGACTCTCAGCACAACTGCACCATAGAGCTGTATTGCATTCTGGGACTTTGTGTTCAACATTTGCTGTCTCCACTACTTCTTCATTAGATTTCTCATTAATCTCTCATTGAACATCACTGGAAAATGGTAACTGAGAGATTGTTGCATTTATTTCTCCTATTAAACACTATTGTAACTGAGATAGCAATGCTGGCACACAACTGCTGAATTCTCACATGAATAATGAAAAAACAGCACCTACCAGCAAATTAGTACATCACAAATATTTTTATATAAAAATATTTCATGTGTTTCAGGGCTGAGTTTTCCTGTAAGTAATCAGTGACCTGTCTCACAGCACAAGAAGAAATTAGAGCTAGAAATAGGAGAAAAAAGTGACAGAGGCCTCTTGAGGCTTTCAGATAGAAAAGCTATCATCAATTATTGACAGCAGAATGCCTAGCAGCATTAAAAATACAATCCATAGTGGACACCGTAGAGCACTGGCATCCTAATTCATCCACATGACTTTCCTAATGCCGTGCTATCAGCTCCACGTCTCTGTAATGGCTTTGGGATGCACTATTGATGATTAGCTGCTGCGCATTCAGCGGCCTGGGTCTGCTGTCCAGCTGCCGCCTGTGGAGACTAATGTGATGGTTAACATGGACTGACTCAGTGAGGAGTGAGGAGCACAGAGCAGTGTGTTAAGTGGCAGGGAGGAGAGAACACCAGGGAGGGAGGGAAGGGATGCTCACCCTGAACTTGTCCCCAGAGAGCAGAGTCTTGTCTGGGCAGCTAAGCGTGTCCACCCACGCCCTCCCTGTGAGAACGGATGCCTCTGAGGGCTCTAATTCTGAATAATTCCATCTGCAGCAGGAGGGTATTAGCATGCAGAGCTTCACAACACCGCCATCTACTGGCAGAGGCAGCAAGGCTTCATGCACTGACCTTGAGGTCTGAATTTTGGCTCTCTTTTTTTTTTTTTTTCAGAGCACTATTTAAGAGTGAGTGAGGTCTTCATTTTTGGCTTCCCTGCTTCTACAGAGGTTGTGGCCAGTAAACTGGGACCTCTATCTGGTAATCTTCACTCACATGTTAGAAACTTAGGCGTTACTTTTGACTCTGCTTTGACTTTTGATAAACAGATCAATGCTGTGGTTAGAAGTTGTTTTTATCAGCTAAAGAATATTGGACAGATGAAGTCATTCTTAACATTAAGTGACATGGAGTCTGTAATACATGCTTTTATCTCATCCAGTTTAGATTATTGTAATGTATTGTACTTGGGTGTTTCACAGTCTCTACTGTCACGTCTTCAACTTGTTCAAAACGCTGCCGCTAGATTGTTAACCGGAACAAGGAAGAGGGAACATATTTCACCAGTGTTGATCTCTCTCCACTGGCTCCCAGTTAAATATCGTATCCATTTTAAAACATTGTTTGTTTATAAGGGTTTGCATGGATTGGCTCCTTCATATATTTCCGATCTCTTTCTGTTCCACTGTAATGCCTCCAGGGAACTTCGATCAACTAGTAGTCTTCAGCTGACTGTTCCAAGGACACGCTTGAAATCAAAAGGAGATCGTGCCTTTGCAGTGGCCGCTCCACAGGTTTGGAACAATTTGCCACCCTATATAAGAACTGCACCAACATACGTTGATTTTAAGTCTCTTCTTAAAACTTATTTATTTACTGTTGCATATGGTCATAAGTAAGCGCAGTGGCATAACTGTAGTGTACTATCTGTTGCTGTGTTATACTTTTACTCTTGTATTTTTGGTATATGCTTAAATTTTGTACAGCACTTTGGCCAGCAGCTGTTGTTTTTAAATGTGCTTTATAAATAAATATGACTGACTGACTGACTGAAGACTGAACCTGGAGAGTTGAAGATTAGGTGATGTTTTTCCAAGTTTCCTCTGTCCAATTTCAGGGAGTCAGTTTCACTGTAGTTTCACTGCCTCACTGTTCTTGGCTAACAGAACTGGAACGCGATGTAAAACATATCAGAACTGCTGCTCCCTGGATGTTTTTTGTTTTATCCACCATTCACTTATATTAGTACGGCCCTGTATGCGTTATGTACTAAAATCAATGCTGCTTAGAGAGGTAGAGGATCTAATTCCCTGTCACAAATGGAGCACTTGTGGTATTGCAGTCCATATTTGTGCAAGCTTCTAAAATCCACAAGGTCACAGAATGTCCTATTTCTCTATTTGGGGTTTAAAAAGCTCCCTCTAGTCACCACTCCTTACGGCTAAGCTGATGCACTTGATGCAGATTCAGCAGCAGTCTCTGACCTAAAACAAACCTAATAACAGCTTGCTAGCAAAAAGCAACTCATAGCCACTTGTAGATGCAAATCAGTCCTGATAAATGCGCTCTATACTTAATGCATCACTGGAGTTTTTAGTAAGACGCATACAGCTATAAATCACTCGCCCATTTCATTTAAGTCAATTATTTAGTCGTTGTTTAGTAATTGGGAATTTAATATTCAGCACATAACACTGAACATTTGTTTTAGACAAAGTTGTTCCTACAAGTGTTCTTTTGGGTCATTTTAAAATTCACTCAGAGCTTTGTGACATTGTTTCTCCCCTTTTTCTTCAGTAGACTCGCCATGCTTCAGGTGTTGCATGTGGTCATGTAGTAATGCTGGGAATAGTGGTGCTCTGTTATATGTAACAAGTGAAATGAATCAAGATCACAACGTAATACTATTTTTTGTGCAGCCCTAGTCATGAAGTGCTCATTTTTACACTGTTATGTCCTCGAGGATTCACACACTGCAGGTCAGCAAAACAAAGACGCAACCAAAGTGCAGATTTGTAAGGGCAGCAGGGTTTAGACGTAACAATATGCGTGTGTGTGTGTCTTTTTGGGTGTGAATAAGCACCTGAGTGCAGCAGCTCCTGCTCCATCACACCACATCCCAGCACCTCCAGCCAGTCGCCCTGAAAACGCACCTCCATTTCAAAGGAGGGATGCGTGAACGGGAAGTAGCACTCCACCCAGCGGATCTCCAGCTCTGCAGGACATCAGAAAAAAAAGCAGAAACACAGATGGAGCCAGAGATAAAGATGGCTCTAGGTAGAGAAAGAGAAGTCAAAGTGTGAATGCTGAGAGACTGCTACCTTCCCCAAAAAGGTGCCTGATGAGCTGCGTGAGGGTGTGTTTCAGGTTGAACTCCACCAGTTTCACGGCCTCCAGAGTGTGAGTCTCCTGCTTCTGTGGTGTGCGTCGATCGCTGTGCTCAAAGAGCGACAGATCCTCGCCGTTCTCCACTCGCGCAAACAGCTGTCCAACATCAAAGATAAGACTTGAAACTTAGGCTGCATAATATATCGTTTGTTAATAATCATTAAATCCACAGTGCTGTGAATTCTCCAATCTGATTGGTCACAAAGTGTTAATAAATTTTCTCTAACAGTAGCTATAATTGCAGTTCCTGCTGCAAGGGAAATCACAGGTCTATATGAATGCGCTTAGTGTTTACATTGACCTGATGCTTTTAGATAGATAGATAGATAGATAGATAGATAGATAGATAGATAGATAGATAGATAGATAGATAGATAGATAGATAGATAGATAGATAGATAGATAGATAGATAGATAGATAGATAGATAGATAGATAGATAGATAGATAGATAGATAGATAGATAGATACTTTATTCATCCCGAGGGAAATTCTTGATATCCAGCAGCAATAGACAGTAACAACAGAAAGGGAAAGGTAATAGATTAAAATAGCACCATAAGTCTGTACAGTCAGTACTAAGTATAAAGATATGACAGTGTAAATACCTTATGAATTTACTTACTTACAGTCATTATAAACTGGTTAGGGTACAGAGCTGACCAGAAGTTAGACAAGTTACATTATACAAGTTATACAAGCTGACCAGAAGTCAAAATAAGTTAAGTTATCCAGGTTATACGAATAGATGCGTGAATCATGATGCATACAACATCTTGATGTATATGACAGATGGTATTTGTTAGATTTCCCCGTCCACTTTACCACGACCCTGAAGGGAGGTGTTGTAGAGCCGAATGGCTCTGGGGACAAAGGATTTAGATTGACTTACAAAAGAGACAGGATACAACTGAGCAAGTGATGGTTAAGGGTCATGCTCAAAGGCCCAACAGCGGCAGCTTGGTGATGCTGGGACTCACAACCATCCAATTAGAAATCCAATAACCTTTACTACTAACCTACCAGTGCGCACTGTTCTAATACACTTTTGTTTCTATGGTAACAGCTAATCCACAGGGATGCAAAATGTGCTATTTAACAATGAAAAAATGTTTAATCCTTGATATGCTTAAGTTTCTGAAAGGAGGCATTTATTTCACATTTATGGAAGGAGTCTCCAGTGTTACTGCTTTGTAACAGTCAAAGTTAAAGCTGTTCCTTTTAGTGATAACAGATACTTATTTCCCAGACATTACACAAGATTAACTGTAACTATAAACAGATCATTAGTATGATGTGTCGTTCCATAATAAATGTAAAATTGTTCGTTTTGGTAAAATCTTGTGGTACAAAACACTTCAGGATGTGCTTCAGGACACTTCGTATTGGAAAATAATCAACTTCCAGGTGGGCACATTGCACCTCCATTATTTTCCTATAACAGCACTCCCTTCCATGATTAAGACCTTACTTACCGTTATGGTAGTCTTTGCAATAATTATATGTATCATTTTAGATTAGATTTTATTGTCATTGTGCAGAGTGCCAATGAACTGTAGTTTTCACATATACCAGCTTGCTAGGAAGCTAGGGTCAGAGATAATACAGCACCCCTAGAGCAAGAGATGTGGTTAAGGCCTTGTTCAAGCGCCCAACAGCAGCAGCTTGACAGTGCTGGGGCTTGAACCCCCAACCTTCTGATCACTAACCTAGAGCCTTAGCCATTCAGCCACCATTGCCACGTATAGTAATGGGTTCTGTGACAATTATGAGTGTTTCAGTAAACATGGCATTGACACCATTGAGAAAACATGAAATATGAGTCATATTATAAAAAAAATCATGCTCCCGATAGGTGCAACAAAAAAAGAGTTTGCCAAATTGCAGGAGTCTGAATCCTGGCAGTGCCACTGGCCAATCATGGGTGTCTGTGAGCTCATGTATGTGGAAAAGGGCAGATAGTGATTTCCTCTGAGTGTGATATGTGTGAATGTGATATGACGCTTCATGTGCAGCAGCTCAAAAAGATGCGGTGGCTCAGAGGAAGTACATGTTAGCCTTCACCAGCTGGCTGGTGGGTGGGAATTGGCAGGTGACCAAACTGGGCAGAAAATGGAGGAAACAAATCGATATCACGGGTCCACCAGTTTGTTTTAATATATTGCAAAACACACAGGCACAAAATCATAATATGCTATTTGTATTCAGACCCTACTTATGAGTCCCAATTATATTCTATCACCTCATTTCAAATGCTGATTTCAAGAATTAAAGTTAGTTTTTGCCACTGAGCACAGTTACAAAGATGTAGTGAAACTGTGAACCTGATCAAGAGGTGTAAACCTTTGAGCAGGAACTTTCTAATAAATCAATATTTTCTACAAAAGCTTTCAGAGCTTTGATTTGTCTGCAGGGTCAAATAAGATCTATACTGTGTTTTAATGATTTCACATTTCAATAATAAAGTACATGAAGCATGCACTTATCTTGTACGGAATAAAACATAACTGGATGTCCTGTTATAGTAAAATAATCAATGACCCTGTCCTTTTTTTTTTTTTTAATAAAGAATATGTTGTACATGTTTTTTATCTATTTACAGTTTACGGTTATGCTGTACAATGTCTGCAAAAAAAGTCAGCTTGTAATGTTAACAAGAAAACACATCCAAAGCTCATCCATCCTGAGAACTTTCCCATGTTCGAAAACAAAGTCACAGCTTTACCTCTGACTGTTACAAACCGCTGATACTGGAGACTCCTTCCAAACAAGTTAAATAACTTCACCATATCAATGATTACAAGCTTTTTTAAATCCTTTAACATGAAGCATCTGTCATACACATGATGCAAGTTGTTACTATAGAAATGATAACCACAACTACTGTCCAGAATCAAGAATCAAGAATTCAACAATGCTGTAGCATAAATATTTTAATCTAACATGTTCTACATATTTAATATGATGACTGAGTGAAGACCAAATGCAGATAAATAACAAATTGTACATTTTCCTCAATTACACCTAAGGAATCCTGGAAATCAGATGCCACGGCCTGACCTCATGGTTGGTAAAAAGTCGCACTCCCTCCATCTGATGGAAGACAGGATAGTGGCTTGCGTCGATCTCGTCCCTCCTGTAGACGTCCCCAGCTACCAGGAAGCGATCAAGCCCGGCACGTACCAGCTCCCTCTGGTGGGCGGAGGTGTGTGCCCGCAGCATGTGTGTCTGGTTCAGGTAGTAGTTGTCACCCTTTTTTCGGCTCGGGTGGTCTTTAGGGATGAGCAGGCTGTCGAAGTTCTGCTCCACTGTCACCACTGGGCTGAGGTTATCATGGACGGAGAAGTGCGGCGTGCCTGTTCGGCTTGTGTAGGAACGGTAAAAATGCTCTTTTATCCGTTCTTTAATGATCCACAGTGGATGATGCGTCTGGTTGTGAAGCTCTCTGCCCACCATGGACAGGATTTTAGCCGTCACATTGGTCATATCATCTCTCGGGTAGACGCGGCCGAGAATTTCCACCGATTCTTGGCTGATTTGCGGCTGGTGGGAGGAGATGTGTGTAGAGAGGCAGTGTTTCTGAGATAGTGCAGAGGTACTGGACCTGAGGAAGGTGATTGGCCATTGGCGGGCAATGGGTTCTAGGAGTTTAAGGACGGACAGTGATTTGGGAATACTTCTACAGTAAGGCCTCATGGCTGGGGAATGAACCTGTAAAGGAAAATAGGAGTTCAATTTTAACTTTTACAAGTAACTTTTATAAATTTCTGTTTTGAGACATATGGAAAAGAACACAGCAGCATATTGAGAATAATATTTTAAAAATTGTAATACATGTCTGAGCAATTGTCTGATGATTACAACAAAACTTGTTTACTGACAGACTTGCTTTATTATTCAAGTCTGCTTTGGAGTAAGCACAATTTGTCTGGTGTGTGTTTACGTATTGATTTAAAAAAATATAATATTAAATAATAGATGGAATAAATATTACAGTAAATAATAGAGGGATTAAATAGCAGCAGGGGGTTTATTAAACAGTAAATCGAACAGTTCCAGTTCATTTACGAGTTACAAGCTTTATTTGAAAGCAGCATTATCTCTTACTCAGGAAAATTGAATATTAGCAATCAACTATTAACATCAATCTTTTTAAAAGGATGTATAATAAACACAAACGTAATAAATACACTTGCGCTTGTGAATTAATTTCACTGGCATTTGAACTTGAGTAAAAGCCAGCAAATGCTTCCATAGTTCTCAAGCCCCATCAGTTGATATATAAATAGGATCATGAGAGAAACTCATTTTTTTTTTACTTATTCATTTATTTTACAAATTACATCTCTCTGACTATGAAGATGCATTTTGTTTGTTACTGGGAGTCAAATTCAATCAAGCCACATTTAAATTAAGAGTGTATGCGCTATTTTAGTCTTTTTCGCTATCTTGACATGCTGCACTGGCGTAGGAGTTCAGCAATAAAAATGGACATCCACCTCCGCTAGTTCCTAGACAACACTCAGTGACTCTGACTCAGTGGAACAACAGAAGAAAACAAACATAAAAATATGCTGAAACACTGAGTGAATATGGATTTATAAGTCTTGAATTATAAATCTAGAATGAACAATTGTAGGGTGGTCAAGGTTTGGGGACACAGAAAATTCATAATATCCATTTGGGATCACTTGCTTAAAAGTTTGGGAACCCGTGTTGTAGATATGTGGAGCAAATCCCCCGGATATTAGGAACTGTGAAACAATTATGAATGTGACTGCAGGTTTATATTCCAAATAACATCTGATAGTCGATTGAAGTCCATGAACAACTGATTAAACAGATGGAATCAGGTGTGGCTCCTGCTTGGCTCAAATGAAAACCTGCAGCCACACCGGCCCTTGGAGGACAAGACTGGGCACCACTGCAATAATGTCATTATGCAGCTGTTCATTTCACACCAAGAAACAAACTAATATTCTCCAATTGAAACGAGTATTGCCACCTCTTTGGGTTCCATAAATTTCCATGTTTCCTGTGCAAATCCAGTCCTGGTTGGCCCCTACTAATGGCTTTACCAAAGAATCTTCTTACCAAAGAACCTTTTAGTGCAGGTGCCTTAAAAGCCGCCTCCACCTCCTACTACGCCTTGGTTAGTCCCTGTATTCCCAACTTCCCAACAATTTCCTGTGACTTTCCGTTGCATACTAAGTAAAGCCATGACGAGCATGTTTCAAGCCAAACTAGTTCCTCCAGGTTGGAGCTTCAGGAGGTGCCTGACTCATCAAACGCCTGCTTTCTGATCTAAAGGTGGAGGCAGGGTAAATGAAGCTGTGAGAGGGCTAATGGATGCCCACCAGGAGAGCAATTCCATACGCTCAGAACAGAGAAATACTTGCTGGAATGGTTGTCTTTGCCGGTAGGCACAAATTACACATTATAGAGAGAGATTTAATATCCATCAAACTTCATATACAGGTGAAGGGGAGTGTAAATCAATCTGGGCTGGAGATAAAAAAAGCAAAAAAAAAAAGTCTTATCGAATCAGTGATGTGCTCATCCACACTGGCTGTTGGTTTCTCTGCCTGTCTCACTCAGTTCATTCTTTGGGTCATATCACGTACAGGTAATCCTGTTTGTGTCATCATCTCTTTCACTCTGGTAGCTTATTTCTCCTCACTTGTTTTTTAATCTCAGAGTTTGTAAGGCACCAAGTTTTACCCAAGCTGAACAGACAATTGAGACACAGTTAACAGCACAGCCACATTACCCTCCCAGTAATATTTTATGGGAAAGAAAGACACGGCAGACTCACTTCTGTCACTTAAAACCTCTCTCGAATACACAACATGAAACCATAGGCAAACTTTACAATGTACACTGACACACACACCATGACAGCAAAGAGTGATGTGAAAAGGGTGAGACACAAAGGGAAAAAGAGTGTTGCATTGCAGTGGCATTGCAGCACAGTGGGTTACGGCCAGGATCCTCTGAGCGGTGAGCCACTTCTTCTTCTTCCTTTCTTTCTTTCTTTTACAGCCCCTCCAATGCTGCCATGCTGCAAATCAAATTAAACAGGCCGAGGTGCTCTGTTCTCTTATGCAAAGGACGTAAGATCACAGGGAAGATGCTTACATATGCTTAATGTGGAATGCTCAGAGCGATACACATGCACACACAAGAATTTCAGGCTCTCTGTCTGTCACAGACACATACATCACACTCACTCTGCAGGGTTTATGAGTGAGGGAAGGGCTGCTCAGCCTCTGCTCTCTTGCAGTAATATGAGGAAAATACACTGCTTCTTCGCTCTCCTTATGTCACGTCACATCTCAGCACAGACACCAAGATGAAGCCTGTCAGAGAAAACTACAAATATAAAACAAGCATACTGGTGTGTGTTTGTGTCCAAGTCGACAGGTTATCTGGTTCAGCTATCACATGCAGACAAATTAAAAGAAAAATCAACATGAAGTGTCTTAGTAAGGTTTTGGACCACCGTGAGCCACCAGAACAGCTTCAAAGGCACGTTGGCATCAATTCTACAAGTCTCTGGAAGTGTACTGGAGCAGTGCACTCCATTCTACCAAAAGATTCCCTCAGTTAGTGTTTAGATGATGGTGGTAGAGAACGCTGTCTAATATGTCACTCCAAAATCTCCAATACGTGTTCATTTGGGTTGATGTGTGTTGATTGTGAAGGTCATAAAATATGATTTACATCATTTTCATCCTCAT